GCCATCTGAGTGGTGGGAACGTATTCTAAATCAATGACCCCCTGATTCAACTGCCAACACAAAAAATGGAAACATGTGTCAATGTGTTTGCTTCGGGCTGTAATGACTGCCACCTTTGTGAGATCTATGGCACTCTTATTATCAGTGAGGATCTGTATCAGAGATGTAGTGATGAAGCCAAGCTCAATCATGAGGTTCTGGATCCATGTTGCCTCGCGGACCGCCTCACTAAGAGCCACATATTCAGCCTCATTGAAACTTAGAGATACACAAGGTTGCTTCACTGAACGCCATGAAATCGGGCTGCCTGTGAGCTTAAAAACATAGCCAGATGTTGATTTCCTATCACCATTCAAGGGGCCGGCCCAATCAGAATCTGAGTAGCTGAAGAGTAGGTAGGAATCATCAGGGAAATCAGGGGTAATGGAAGAATTGGTAGGAACGGAAAAAACAGAAGGAACAGTAGAAACAGAAGGAATGGTAGAAATGAACCCCTTATACAGGCCGCGTCCGTAGAAAATACCCAGATCCATGATCCCTTTCAAATATTGTATAACATGTAATAGGGCCTTTCAACATTGAGGTGTTGAATCAATGTTCTGTTGAGTGAGTAGTGAGGCAGTGTGAGTGATATCAGAACATGTTTTAACTGCAAGATATTGCAAGCAACTCACATCATATTGATATCACTGAATTGTGAAACCAGCCTCTTTCTCAGATATAGAGGAATCATCAATACAGAATTCATTCTTCATTGATGTTCTGACAACAGCTGCATCATCAAGATAGAAATCTTCAACAAGGCATTTGATATATTGACAATGTGTCAAATCAATTCTCTTGTCTGAACAATTGATCTTCATACTCAAATACTTGATTGACTGGTGTAGATCCTTGACTTTCAATTTCTCACTGAGTATACTCACTAGCCAATCAGCATTCTCAGGAGCTTCGGATATGATGTTGAGATTATCAATGTAGATTGTTATATAGAGGTGACATCTGAATGTATGATATCAGAGTGCTGGATCATGAGTGCTGACTGTAAATTCAAGATCACTCAACAGAGCTGTTAAGTAATCATATCAGATCTTCACTGCAGAGTCCAGGCTGTATAGACTACTCTCAATCACACAGACAAGCATTTTCAGTGAATCTGTCTCAAATTCAGTGAGTTATCTCATATAGACCTTCTTAGTGAGGCGCTCATGAAGATATGCCATTACTATATTCACTTAATGAAGTGTTCAACCGCGTAGTACTGCTATTGCAAAAAGAATACAATTAGCAGTATCAGTGATGACAGGAGTGTAGATCTCTTCTCTAGAATCCTTCTTAAGTCAGTTATCACAAATCACTCAATGCAATTTTCTAAGAATATCATCAGAATCAGTATTTGAGTTCACAGGTCTATCTTTCTCAAGGAACACCCAACAGCCTGAAGCAATCAGTTCACCCCTTGAGACATCAGATCTAGGGATCAAACTCCATGTATTGCATCTCTTCAGGTCAGTAATCTCGCGTTGCATGGACTTCTTCCAATAATCTCCTACCCCCCCTGGCCGAGATGTGGCATCCTTGTAGGACTTCAGGAGGTTGCCTGTAATGAGGCTTGAAGTGTAAGTAGTCAGCGATTTCGCAGGCCACAATCATGTAGAATTCAGATCATCAATGTCAGGAGCATCTTCATCATCAATCAGATGAATATCAGGTTCCGGTTCACTGGCATTATTAATGAGTGCCATAGATGTGACAACCAGTTTTTCAGTGATCAGGAACCTCACATCACTACTGGCAATAATCTTGTCAGATTCAGAATGTCATAGGCGATATATCGATGTGCCACTGAATCCAATGATACAATAGGAATCGGCACATGGAGAAAGCTTATCCGCGGGCCGCTGAGATCCATGCAAGTGAACAAAAACCTCTGCACTCAATCAGTGAAAATGCCTTACATTCAGCGGGGTATTCATAAGTGCACATCAAGGAATCTTATATGGACTTGGAATCACAGGGATCTCTGCAGTAGAGGACCAAAATTTTGAGTTGTAAAGAACTATAGATATGAGAGTATTATTGATTATTGCAATCACTGTCTCTAGAACATCTGCTCAGAACTTCTTAGAAAGATTGTCTTTCAAAAGAGCAGCTCTAACCCATTCCATGATAGTACAGATCTCATGTTTAGAAACATCATTCTGGTGTGATGAATGTGATGTCATTGGTTTTCATTTGATATCATATGAATTCATAACTGTGTGCATACATGTGAATCAGAAAACATCATCAATATCAGTTCATAGAAAAGCAGGGGCTGTATACCTGAGATTATTCATGAATCTGAGTCATAACTCAAAGTATTGAACAGCTTCATTCTTGAACTTTAAAAAATATACTCAATGGTAGTGAGTTGCATCACAGGTGATGAGCATTCAGTATTTGATTCCCTGGCGGGACTCTAAGAGGTGGTCAGAGAGGTCTTTCAATGTACATCTATTATCTACAAGGTCAATATGAACCTTCTCAATGGGTTGAATAGATCTAGGCATCAGTGTTTTTGAATAATCTTGTGTCATACCAGCCTTGACACATTTCTCACAAAAGAACTTAGTCTTAGGATCTTTAATTGTGACTCCAGTATGGGGATCCTTGGCCATAGCAATTATAGCATCAGCATGAATGTGACTAAGGTTATAATGTCAATTCAAAAGAGTCTTTGATATCTTTGATGCCTGTGTTCTCACGTCCGCAGAATCAACATTATTAACAGTAGTGGCAGCAGTCACAGGAAGATCAACTTTTCAATCAAAATCATACTTGTGAGGCATTATCACAATATACTTGACTGCCCTGTTCAGATGATTGAGATCCTCATTGAACTCCTGTTCATCAATCTTATATATGTTATTCTGAGCAGTCTGAACTGCATGAAAAATAACACTGTTCAGAGCTCTGCAAATGAAAAATGAGAGAATAGTGAAAGATAATGTAAATCAGAATCTCTGATCTTCAAGCTTTGCAAATGAGAGCAGATTAACTGTAATATTAGAAATATAGTGAACATTCTGCAAGTTAACATCATCACTCTCAACCTTCAAAGTGACAGTTCTAATCTTCTTGACAAACTCAGTTTCCTCAGTTGCAGAATTGACAGAGATATTATTATTAAAAGATTTGATATTTAAAAAAGAATAAAGCTCATCTGTCATATTCAAGCTTACACATATGTTCAAATACCAAGATCTAGAGAATGATTTTTCAGTGACTGTGAAAGAGAAATAGAACTCAATCTTCATAATTACTGCATTCACTGCTGATTGAGAACTTATCAAGTCATCTCTCTTCTCTTTCTTCTTATCATTCTTCTTGTCATCCTTCTTTTTCTTTTTATCAGAGTGTAAGATAAAACACCTGTCAACAGTATGTTCATATCTTCTACAGTGAGTACACTTTCATACAGATGTGCTTTTATCCTCATCTTTGTTCTTATCTTTGTCCTTGTTCTTCTTCACAGTCACAGAATCAGTCTGAGACTGCTTTTTTCACTCAGTGATGATCTTCTTGAATGTATAATTGATCAGTTGCTTCATCAAATCATCAATATCAATGTTGACAATGAGTCTCTGATCAGTGGAGAAAAACTCATTCAAACATGTCTTGACAAACAGTCTTTGATAATCTTGTAGATTGTTGAGGAAGAGATCATGATATATATTCTCAGTGCTCTGACAGAGCTTCTTGTGACAGGTAATAAGATAGTGAAAACATCTCTGAAAAGTAAGATAATCATTCTTCTTGACTTGTAATTTTGTCAATTTCTTGAAGATATTAACTCATTCTTCTGTCAGTGATATTGCATATTCAACATTGATCTTGTCTCACAGAGTCACAGCATTGTCAGCTTTCAAGGTTTCAATAGTAATTCAAACATTTTCAACAAGACTTGATAGTATACATCTATATAAAGACTTGAAACAGATTCTTCACTTCTCAGAGTCAATATGATGTGTAAAAGAGAATTCTCATTGAGTTCTCAATAGAATGTCAGTTTCATCAATAACTTTCACATCAGTCAATATATCAACACATCAGGCTTCATAATTAGAGTCATCAAATGTGGTCACTGATTTGATATCTAGTGCATATTTGACTTTCTTCTGATATTCCTGTAACTCATCCCTCATAGTGTCTCTTTGTGCAGATGTAGTGAGATGTTGAGTGATTTCAGCTGCAGTTATCTGGTTCTGTAGCATTATCTGTATAAGATTCATAAGATTGCCTGCGGTGCAATAGATAGGTTGATTCAAATCATCATTAAAAGTCAGCATTTCAGAGGTGGGAGACAGTGAAGAATTCAAAGAGTTGAAATGAACAGATTCTGCAGATGAATATTGACTCTGCTTTCCTTTGTTCTGAAGTTCCTCTATTGTCTCATCATCATCAAATTTCATACTCTGGTGAAAACTGATCTCAGCCTCATCTTGCAAGTCAGAAGCTTTCTCATAATGAGTGATCATTCTATCAATGAGTCATCTAGTGAAGCATGTGATTCTGAGCCTTGAGCTGAACTCTGAAGTAACAGATGTATCACTTATATTGAGATGACTCTGCTTCTTCTAGATGTGTAAAAAAAAAAAATAAAAAAGTGATATTCTTCACAATGAAGAACACACTTTCTCAAAAAAAATAAAGTATATAAATTCACTGACTGACAGATTCAGGGAAAATGAAATATCTCTAATAAAGAGTAAGAGTCTTTTCAAAAAAGATGAACTATTCATGTCAAAAATATGTTGATACAACATTCTAAAAAGAAAAACATGCCATCCAGGCTATAACCTGTAGGATAGTTGAAGGTTGTATTGATAGATCTATCTACAGGAACATATTATAGTGGTGGGTCACGTGATCTAGTGGGATCGCTAACCGCAACGGCCGTAAGGGCCAACAAATAATTAGTGAAACCGCTAGGGCTCCTTGCTCCTTACATTCGTAAGCGTATTCGGAAGCGGCCGCATTATTATCCGGCGGTCGGACGTTCTTCCGAACCACACTCTCTCTTTTATTTTCTCTTCTGTGAACCTTTCAGTAGAAGACACTCTCAATCTTATATGTAAATCTCATTTTCTAGTTATATAGCTGCTCTGCTAGATTGCAAACATTTACTCAGGCAGAGCAGCAGTGAAGAGGAGTGTCAGATTGCCTCTCTGTGAGCTGACTGCTTCTGCCTCATAATACAACCAACTACTCTAAGAACATCAATCCATCATCAACTCTATTTTTAACTTAATTGATAGAATAACTGTAATTATTTTTAATAATTATTTCATCTCTCAGTTTTACAGATTTTTTTCAGTTTTTTATTAATTATCTATATCATTATTCAATTTATTTTCAGATCTGCATCCTGTTATCAATCGACACCGCACCTGTCTCTTGAACTTCCATAATTGGTGGTGAAGGAACGTGCCGCGCAACAAGGCTGGCCGGCAGTTCTAAGGTCGGAATGGACGAATCCATCGTAGATGGTGCACTCGGGGTAACCTTGGATGAAGTAGGTTTTGCGTGAACCGCTGCGTCCTTGTAGAATTTCTGCAGCCGCTCGACATCATTACAGAAGGCTCTAATCTCTGCTCCGATCTCCCTAGTAATTCGATAGGAAGAGGGAAGTTCAGACTGGGGAACAGGCCCGGATGAGGTGTCAAGTGATGCGCGGACTGCAGGCGATAAATGCGGCGAGCCACCACGGTCCAAGGCATCATATGTTGCAGCACGGGGGCGGTAGAACTCACTTCTGTCGAAACGCCCAGGTTCCTTGGCGACAGGTCCTCGAGCGCTGTAGAGTCGGTTCGCGAGCAGAAGGAAGCAGCCGTCATTTGTAATCTGAGCGAGGACGGCACCGGTTCGGTGGACATACTGGGGGAGGTGATAGTCCAGTCGACCCCAGGAATATGACACGTTTACATCCGGAGGGAAAGAGTGTATAGCTTCAAAGTCAAGGACGAAGTCAAACTTTTTCAGGATTGCCTTGTGATAGAAGTGGCGGTCGGCTATGCCTTGAGATCCGAATAAGGTGGAGCTATAAACGTTGGGCGATGGGCTGTCTGGGGGTTCAATTGCTAGCTTGACTGGGTATGGGCGCCGGAAAACTTGGGTTTCGACGATGGAAGAAGCCTCAGATATCGGTAATTCAACTAGTTTGAGACCGAACTTTTCCGCGGTTGCAGCCCACGATACAATTGCATCTTCCACAAGCTTGGGCGTTGCGTTCATCCAACTGAGTTCGATGTGGAAGCAATTGTCGGGATTGTGAAGCCGGTCATAGTGAAGCTCAATTGTTTCAGGGCGGGTTGAACGCTTACGAGTGTCGACGTCAATCTTCATAGACTTTGACAGGCACACTGAGGCTTTTGTTCTCGGAGATTTCCCCTGGGTAGGCGTGTTGGCCCTACTGTCAGTCTCTCCCGCCCCGTTATCTGCTTTGTCCTGGGCAGTCTGAGCTACACCCTCTCCCATGGGAGTGTTAGGAACCGATTTTCGAGCCTGGAACCAACCGCTTCGAGATTCTGGCCGAGCTATGCGATATTCATCGGTGATCTGGTAAAAATAATTGCCGTCTCTGAAATTATGCCTTCGCTGGACGTGACAAATAAGCCCATGCTTCATCAACTCATTTCCAAACTCAACTGCCTCCTCGCGAGTATCGATATCGCGGAAATTTTGCAGCATCCAAGTAGTAAGCTCTAATCCAACAAAGCAGTTATAATGAAGACGCCAATGCCATCTTCTATCCATCATCCTCACCCCCTTCTCGCCCTGTATAGCCTGCGCCAAGACAGCAAGACTAATGTTGGATCGTTGAAGTAATTCGGATTCTGGTAGCAATTGTAGAGAAGGACTATCAAGATGTGGATCATCAAGCAACAGTCTATCAAGTTCAGCAGCAACAACCTCAGACGGATTGCTAGTTTGATATATAATATTCAATGGGTTTTGGTCCTTTTTGTAAGTCGGTGCCTGCAGTCGTTTTTCCTCTGGCGGAACATACCGATACTTTTGCCATATTTGAGTGAGTTGAGTGATGCCAAGAAGATGAATTTCCTCTTCATTATCCTCTTTATATGACTGCATTGGGCGTCTTGCGTTTGCGGGTATCTGAACGGGTATCAGAACGAAACGCGTGCGCCAGAAACGAAGTTGTTCCGCGCAATTGGTTAAGTGGTCCCGATAGCCTGCCAGAAAAGCGTCCGCATAATTCCAGTTGTAATCTTCTCGAGGTAATTGCAAATTTATAGTATTTTTGCAATAGTTTGCACTCAATATTGTTTTAACGACAGGAGTGTAATTGAATGCAAAAGCCTTTGCGTTAGAAAGGAAATCGGTCACCGTTTTACGTGTGAATTTTGTAACTTCTATCTCCCCTCCGGCAACACAAACCAACTTGTGGATGATGTTGCCCATAGACATAAAAATGGTCGTCCCATCTTTGGATAATGAGCGGGTGTTGAATATATTTAGCGATCCTAGTGAATGCTGGCCTGATGCTTCGTTAACTAACTTCCCAACGTCGATCTGGAAACCATGGGCAAGGCGCAATGCCACCATTTCACGTAGAAGTGCCTCTCGGGTTCTAGGCGTTTCTGCGAAATCGGACTCGTCATTTTGGTAGACTCTGTACGGGGTCTGAAAATACTGAGAAGCGAGTTCTTCGCTTGTGGGAAATTCCTCTGTTGTCAGTGGAAGAATTGCCGGCGACTTTAGGCTCTTCCACTTTACAGACGCCGTGCTTGGCATCCGCGGATAGACATGCTGCCAGCGACCGAACCAACTGGATCGCGTGGGTCCACGTTTAGGTGGTTTGCACGGGTTAACAGGTAAAATCCATGGAGACAGCGCCTTCGTTGGAGATAAAGCAATAGGTGCTTCATCTTGGCTCGCATTATGAGTTAAACCAAACCTGGGACCCGTACGGGTCATTGGGAATGGCCCATGGATTTCTTCATTCGGTCCTCGATCGAAAGGCACTTCTGTTGAGGTAGTTGAAAATGAGCCATCAACTTCATTGGGGCCCATATTATGCTCGTCCATCGTTTTTTTATTCGCGATTCGGATTGAAATGGGTTTTGAAGGAGTAGTATTTGCGTTCTCTGTAGAAGGCGTAACATTTACCAGAGGGAGCTCTGCGGTGTTGAAGGTAGGGCTGGAAACGCTATCTGATATAGGCGAATTGATGATGGCGTTTGAGGGTTGTTCTGCAGCACTAAGCAGTTTCTTACTTGTCGTTGACAGGCCCTTGGCATGTTCGTTATTAATTTCCGTACTTGCAATTGCTCGGGGTGGAGTTGGGCCTAGCCCGCGTAAAGCAAAGCTAATCGACCGGGAAATCCGTGGCTTGGTGGACTTCGATGCTGTTTTCATGCTTGACTTTTTGAAGGGTATCCGTTCAGCTGGGGCTACTTTCTGAAAGTTTGACTTTCCATCTTCTGGCCGCCGGTGGCTATTACTGGGGTTCGTTGAAAACTTGCCAGAGCGATTCAATGAACTCGTCGAGAAACGTATGGACTCTTGTTCGCATACCCGAGATCCTGGTGTCTCAAAATCAACGCGCTTAGCCTTTGAAGCTCTTCGTACCATTCGCTCTGTGGGAGTTGTATGAAAGATTGAGTTATCATAAAAATCCATCCACTCTAGCATTTTTCGCTGTGTCGCAGGCACGGATAAAATATTCTTTTTCGAATCCTTGAAAGTTGACATCAAAGATCCGGCCCCACTCTCTGTGAACGGAGATTTATACGATCCGTGCGGAGATGCATATGAGCCAGAGCGCCTTTGAAGGCGGACGTCAGCTGAAGATAGATACGGTACACAGATATTTGACTGTTCGCTTTCCATAACACCCATCATTTGAATTTCATTCATCCTGACCCTTGGAATAAAGGTATTTGTTTGCTTTTTCATTGTGCCTACGGCAGGGGATTTTGTGACTTTATTCACAGCGGTTCGTCTGTCGCGGTAAATTTTCGGATCCCAATAGGATATGTCAATCCAATGGGGAATCCCGTAACGCCAGTCGTCAACGACCGGGGCTGGTTTTGGTAGAGGTCCGAGTGTAGCATTTGACGATCCAGGACCGGAAATTCTACTCGAAAAGCTCCCAGATAAGTGAGAATCGGAGGGGGACGGACGGAGGAGCGAATCCCTGGAGATAGAACTACCCGGCCTCGAAGTATGGTCACTCGGGAGGCGATACTTAAATAGTGGAACTGAATGCAATGGCATGGGACTCAAGCATATCAGATCAATTCCAATGGCACGACTTGTGAGGACCTCTGAAGTCAACGCTAGTGCCTCATAAGCGACTTCAAACACTCCTGTCCCAGGAGATATCACAACGATTGACGTGCCTGTCCTAATAAGGTCACGACCAATATGCTCAAATGCCAAGTACGATGACGCAATATTTATTGCTTCCAATATATTCCCGCGCAGGGCAGAAGTCGGCCTTCCAGATATACTTGGAGGGTGCTTCGGATTTTCCGGGAGCATGTCTTCCGCCGATGTCGGTGAGTCTGGGAAGCGCGATGGCGGGATAGACACGTCCCGGAGGAAAGTCCTGAATTCCTTCTTTAATTCATCTAAAATTGCCGTCCACTTGCCACTTGGCATATCATTGACCACAACGCGATAGAAATCCTGACTCTCTAGTCGGGAATCATGGGTGGTTCGATTTAAGTTATTGATGAGGAAAGAAGAGCCGAGATTATCTACCGCTAAGAGATCATACTGGACTCTAGTAAATAAAACAATGGTCACCAGATGGTGGGCATCGATGCCAGCCCAACGTTTGAAGAGTTCCGGCAGAAGGCTATTGATGACCCGACTAAAGAGAATGTCACCAGTACCTTCGGAGTCAAAGTCCCACATCTCCTTCGACATTTGAATGAAGAGGACATATCGAGCAGATTCGCTCCGAAAGATTGGTATCGTTTGCGGGGCAAAGTAACCAGATGGCACTTTTTTGCCGTCGATATATATGGACTTAACCGTTGCTTTGATGGTTCCCATGAATACGATCTTCTGTCCCTTATAGACAGGCTTATCTGCGAGTTCTGACATGACTAACCTCCACATGTCAGATCGGACCAGAAACTGGTCTCGAAAAATGAGCTCCACGTGAGAAGCGGTGCACTGCGACCGATCTTTGAGAGATATCAAAGCCTGGGAGTGGTTTTTGAATCCAAAAATATTGGCAATATTACTTGTGATCGAAATTTGTAGATTTGGGTGCCTGGCTTTAATATCTGCCGATAGCGGTTTGACTAGAAATAGGTACCATCGATTGGCTGGGGAGTGAGGCTTGTGGTCAGCAGCGCGCTTTGCAGCGGCGTCGGAACCTGGATCGGAATCACCTGAATCTCGTAGCGTTCTCCCACTCGGATCCAGTCTGTTTGAAGATGCATGGTGGTCCCCTTGTGAAAGACGGGGGGAAGAGAGCTCAACAAGATCTCCCGCTTTTAACCCTAGATCGCTAAAAGCACCGACATTGAATAGCACATCTTCTCTCGAGAAGTTATCATCATGAACCCATAGAGAGCAGGGACGATTGCTGAGGCCTGTAGCACTTGTCTTCGAGGGCCCATATACTCGGTCTTGATCCAGATTGGTCGTCCCCGTCGAAGCTGTTGCAATGCTTGGGGTGCTAACTTGCCTCAGATGCGAACCTTTGGCGCGTCCACGTGGCAGCATGATTTATCAAATGGTCCGTCCATGTATCATGGAGACGAAAACGGCTGTGCTATTTGATATTCATTGTTTTGTCTAGAGTGCTGTTCCAAAGCTATCAGAAACGCTGAGGTTGACCAGATTGCAATCACGATTGGATAGCCTCACCTAGCTACACGTGACTAACACTATAATGGAGGATGGATGTTATCTCAGCGGGCTCAGACCTCTGGCTCGGTTTGAACAGGTTGCAGACTAATCCGGCATGACACTAACCTACTTTTGATACAAGTCATGTGCTCAGAGCAATCCTCGCCAGAGGGTCTGAGAAGAAATAGTTCCATCTTCAATGAAGATTTCCAAGATTTATAAGGATTTTTCAGATTCTTTAACTTTGACTTTCTATTACTATATACTCACATATCTTTGAGATTTGAAAATCACCTTAGCTTATAGCTAAAGAGAAGAAGAATAGAAATATTTCTTTAATATTTCAAAAAAATCTATATTTAAGATAGATATATACTCTTGAAAATAATCATATTTTTTAATCTCAGAATTTCTAAGAGCTTTTTTTTATATGAGAAATTGAATTAAAATTTCTGTATTCAAAAACACACTGATTAACTTTGAGATGATACTTCTATTTTAAAAACTTAAGATATGAATATAAAAATCAGATACATTGTAAGAATATTGTTATTTTAAAATTTTAAAATAATACAGAAATGATAAATCTATAAAATTAAGTTGAAATTCTCTTTTATACTTAGAGTACTGAGTAAATTCTTTCTATATTATTAATAATCAGAAACTGTTTCTTCTCAGATACTTTATAAGATATTATTACTTATATAATCTGATTTTACTATTTAAGTTAATTTATTACTTATTTGAGATTAGCTTATAATATAATTATTAATTCAGTATTAAAATAGTAATGAATATCTGAAGAAGTGTCTGAGCTTACTGAGATAAAATAAATATTATCTTAGCAAGCTCAGACACTTCTTCAGATATTTATTACTATTTTAACACTGAATTAATGATTATATTATAAGCTAATCTTAAATAAGTAATAAGCTAACTTAAATAGTAAAATCAGATTATATGAGTAATAATATCTTATAAAGTATCTGAGAAGAAATAGTTTCTAATTATTAATAATATAGAAATGATTTACTCAGTACTCTGAGTATGAAAGAGAATTTCAACTTAATTTTATAAATTCATCATTTTTATATTATCTTAAAATTTTAAAATAATAATATTCTTATAATGTATCTGATTTTTATATTCATATCTTAAGTTTTTAAAATAGAAGTATCATCTCAAAGTTAATCAGTGTATTTTTAAATACAGAAATTTTAATTCAATTTCTTATATAAAAAAAAACTCTTAGAAATTCTGAGATTAAAAAATATAATTATTTTTAAAAGTATATATCTATTTTAAATATAGATTTTTTTAAAATATTAAAGAAATATTTCTATTCTTCTTCTCTTTAACTATAAGCTAAGATGATTTTTAAATCTTAAAGTTATATGAATATATAGTAATAGAAAGTCAAAGTTGAAGAGTCTGAAAAATTCTTGTAAATCTTAGAAATTTTCATTGAAGATAAAACTGTTTCTTCTCAGACTCTCTGATAAGAATTACTCTGAGTATATAACTTATAGTAGACTGATTATGTGACTGTGTCTGAGATCAGAACTAGATTTTTTAATAGTCTTATTATCAATTCAACTGATCTCATTACATGATTTTAACATTAGATAGTAGTCTTATACTGTTTCAGTGAGACTTACTGTCTACTCTTATCACATTTTTCAAATAAGATCATGATTTCCACTTCTCAATTTAAATTATTTTTATTGCTTTAAATGACTTTAAATCTCATTTAAGTGTTATCAAAAAGCATTACTTTTTAAAAAATTAAAAATAGTCTAAAAAAAACCTTAAAATGTCTAAAAATAGTAACTTTATGTTAAGAATGAAACTAAATGAGATTAAATGAGATTACTTTCTCATTTTTTTCAAGTCATGATTTCATTTTAAAATCTGATATATAGTCACTTTATCTGTTTTTTTGATAGCCAGTCCCAGTGAGATTCACGCCAAGAAATGTATGAGATCAGATCAAATGAAATCAAACATGAAATTTATAGTCTCAGCGGCCAGTCTAACTTGTAGTTATTAAAAGTAGGTTAGTGTCATTGTAAGAATAAGTGCTCGCAGGCGATTATTCGGGTGTTTGCAGCTTGGCATGATATGTACTGTTAACTACTAGAAGTGTTCATGGTAGGAAGATAAATGTAGAGGTCAAATGTATAATAGTATTCAAGCTGAGTTGTAAATAGTATTTGTGAACTTCAGTCTATATAGTTGTGTGTAGCCAAGGGCCGCTAGCCCTATTAATTATGTGAGAGATAGGAATAGAAATAAAGAATCTGTGAGAAGTGAGATTTCTTACATACCTCTCTCTCTCTAAGACTTCATCTGTGAAGCCTTTCACTGAGTGACTTCATAGTCAGCTCAGCACTGCAGTGATACTTACTAAAAATCCTTCATATCTGTAAAAAACCTCAGTGAGGAAAAATCCCTTGTTACTGTGAAGAGAAAAGAGTCTGTCACTCAGTTTCTTGTTCTGTGAGATTCTTTGTAGTCTACAGATTCTTCTCTGACTATCACACAGATTCATCTCACATCTTTCATATAGAAGAGTTTCAGTTAACTCTCAATCATTTTCACAAGGTTCTTGTGTGATCATTACATAGATTCATCTTGCAGATGAATCACTCTCTATGAGATCATCCTCATCAAAGAGAAACATTCATGAGTTGATCTTTCATTCATTCTTACAAATCATTGCTCTTTGACACTGTAGAATTGTGAGGAATTTTCCATTCTTTCATTAACTCTGTAGAATTGTAGAATCAAGATGTTTGCAGTCTGCAATCACTCTTTATAGTCACATAGAAAGATTCAGATCTGCAATTCATAATCACTCTTATTTGTTAGAGTGATCTAACTGTTCTACAGAATCACTCACAGTGTAAGCAAATCTCTCTAAAGTAGTATAAATATCTCAGATCTGTCTGTGAAACTTCATCTTCTTTTCTCTTTTTCTGTAACAGCTCTCATTCTTATAAACTGTGAGTATCTTCATTCATCTATGAAGTGTTTTCACTTAGATGACAGAGAGAGAGTATTTCTGACAATGTCTATATATTGATTCAAGAACTTCTCAAGAATAAAAATTTTTTCAATTTCAATATCTTTGTAAACAATGTCTGGTCACTGCTGAGCTTCTTGTGAGTGTCTCTGCAACTTCTTCAATCACTTTTTACTGGCTGATGAAGCAGGGGCACTGCTGTTCATGACTGTGTCTTCACTCTTCCCAGCCCTGTCACTGCACCTGATCTTTGAGCCAGCAGCCAACTCTCTGTCTCTCTCAGACCAGCCCCTGGCTCTAAGCAGTGCAGTTCTCTTCTTTGCTGTAAGTCTTCTCATAAGTAATTTCTTACAGACTCTAGCTGACAGTTCTTGTAAAGCTCTCAGTGTTGTCAGTGTCTTCTGCAGTTCTACAGGCCTATAATCATCTTCTCTCTGCTCACATAATCTCTGACCAGGTATATGCAAATATGTCTAGGTTCTCTATCAATGATTCTCACATCACAGTGCATTTCTGCAATCTCATTGTCAATAGAAGATGAGTCTCTGAGTACTCACAAAATCCAGGTAATTAAGACAATGTGAATGCTATGAATTTATGATAAGAGTTAGTCTGAGTAGATAAGCCTTCTCTCTGTGTCTTCATTGTTTCTGAGCTGAATACTTCAGCACAACTGAGAGAGTGAACACAGCTTTGTAAGAGATATCTGGTCACATATGCAGATGACCAGTCTTCAAGACTCTGTTACAACTGTATACACTCTGATGTTCAGCTTCTCTGAAGTCTGTGCATTTCTAGCAGTCTTCATGTCAAATGCAACAATTGTCTGTACTGCAGGTATAATGCTCTCTGCTTCTTTAAAGAAGAAAATTGATAGTTGTGAGAGAATTGAGTGTTACAGATATTAATGATATGAGTGTGAATTTTCTTTATTTTTTCTTTATTAGTCTCTAAATTGTATTCACAGCTCTGTTTATTTTCTTATTTTTTAGCTTTAATAAGAATATATTTTCTTCTTCTCTTGTGTACACTGCAGACTGTTCATCTCAGTAGAAACTCATCATCTTATAGACTAGAGTTTGCAAATGACAGTGTTAATGTCTTTGTCATAATCAGGTTCTTAGTGAAGACTGCATCATTCTGACTTATTAGAATTCATAGTATGAAAGTCATGTCTCAGCTTCTGCAGATGTCTTATCTGTCTAGATGATTCTTAAGTGAACTCATTCATCTTGTCAGAATACTCTTGTCACTGAACCTTGAATCAGAGCTTGTGATCTTGCTTCTCTGAGTCAACAATCTCTTTGACCTAGTATTCTCTTTCACTCTCTAGTACTTTGCAGACAGAGTGATGAGTTACAGGGTTTTCTTCTGAGAATTTCTTATATTCACAGAGTAAAGAGATATGAAAAACATTGTATATCTGTAATTTAGATAACAGTTTTAATCTGTAGAACTGCAAGCTAACTTTCTTCATAATCTTACAAGACTCTGTCTGCAAGAGATTCAGCTTCTTACTAGATCTCTGTGTGATGATGTTTTCTAGACTCAGTCAGACTCTATCATCTTTCTTGAAACTCTTCATGATATGCTTGAAGTTATAGTATCTCTTCTGATACTCTTGAGTCTTTCTCAAGAATTCACAGACTTTCTCCTGAATCTCCTGAATTCTCTCAGCCTGTTCATGAGCATCATCACACTCTATAGTGTACTCTCACAGGTTCATCAAGGTCATCTGCAGATGAGTCTCAGTGAGTATCTCAAAGAGGGTTTTACCTGTGCTGACATGCTTTGAGTTGTTGTATATGAACTCTGTAAGTGATAATCAATGCACTCAGTTATTCTGATTGTAATTGACAAAGCACTGCAGATACTGTTTCAATATACTTATCAGATATTCTGTCTGATCATCTGTCTATTGATGAAAAGTCATACTTAGATCTTATGAGATCTTCAGTATAGTTATCAGATCAGATCAGAACTCTTCTG